TGCAGTTTACGACGAATTTACGACGATTATTTGGAAATCGTCGTAAATTCGTCGTAATAGTCAACATATGTCCAAGTCACAGGCCATAATGAATATTGCCTACCAGACATACCAAATGGATTAAACCCGTCAGTGCAAAGACCAAGATAAACATTTCGCTTAGACCTAGCAAAGTCTGGATGTACGGTGTTAAAATGTTTCCAAGATTTCCCGTCAGACGGGTGAGTCATTTTGCCATCTGTTTGTGAATGTTCTGCATGCCATCTCATCGACGCAGCTGTCCGTTCAGATTGATATAGTCTTTTTAACCTATCAGTGATAGGAAGATACCACATTTTTGGTAAGGAATCTTCTTACGCCCAGCAATTTGCGGTCTATATCTTGGCTTTTGGCAGAAACGACATTCTTCAAGCTTCTCATCATCTCTCCAAAAAAGCATACAATTATCAACACAAACATCAATCATCTCAGAAGGCAACCCAAGACTAAAAACCAGCTTCTGAATTTCATAATACGTTTCAGCAGCCAAATTATCATCTGGCAAATACTCTTTAATAAGATCTGCCCAATCGTTCATGCAAACTTCAGATAGATTGTGATCAGTTTTTATTGTCATCATCCGAGCTGCCAATGATAATTTTGATAAAATTCCCTACATCCCTCGTAAAGAGGCTGTTTTGCTGCGTTTAACATATCATAAAAGCGTTTCGCATCTGCATTGGGCTCCTCAACAGTATCAGCATGTGTTTCATGAAATGCATCAGTAAGCATTTCATGCATCCTATCATGATCTTCAACCTGAACTTGACTACTTTGATAATCATTTGACGCTTCAAAATCCCCATGTTCTTGATGATTACTACTACTCCGTGCAGCCATCTGACCACTACTTTGACCATATCTCTCTTCATGCTGATTCCAAATAAAGTATTGGGGCATGAACACTCTATTCAATAAATGCTGCCAAACAGTTTGTCAATAGGAATATGTTTCCTATTTTTTCATTTTACACAAGGACAATACATTTTGCCGCTTTCAATTACAGTTTGCATAAGGCCGGCCTGGTACATGAATATTTCCAATCCGTTTTGAAGTCTTCAGTTAACGACCCATCACTATTTTTGGGCGTATACATCCACTTTCGTAGATCGTATATAGACATTTCAAAAACAAATAAGTGACTTTTTGTTTTTGAAATTTGATATAAATTTCAACTACTAAAAATTTTACTTAAACATTCAAAGACTCAAAAAATTTGTGTCTTTATATGTTTTTTTGGGTTGATGGAATAATGAGAGAAGAAAGGGTATATATAGATTTTTTGTTTGGTTACCAACATATTACCATTGCATATTTACATCAAATTTACGTCGAAATAAAATTTACATTATATTTACATCGATATTACGTCACTTACAAGATAGAGGACAATTCGTCGTATTATCGATGTAAATTTACGACAACATTACGACGAAATAAAATTCGTTCTTTATTCGTCGTAATGTCGTCGTAACTTTACGACGATTTTACGAAGGAATTTTTTTACGTCGAATTTACGACAAAATTTTTGGACGTCGTAAATTTACGACGACCATAAATCATCGTAAATAATTCGTTGGAAAAGCCCCTCTTTCTTGTAGTGCTACACCGTCCGAGTAGGTCAGAAGCGTTACGGCTTGGTCACTTGGTGTAGCGTCCGAGTTCTTGACCCATAGATCAGAACATAACCTCCAAATGGTAATTGATAGCTTCTTGGCTCGTGACCGTGTTGTTGGCCCACTTGGAATGATCAGGTCATCATTCAAGTCTTGTCCCTTGTCCCGTGTTCCGTCCATGTCCCTTGTTCCGTCCAGATGGTCGGCCTCATGGTCATCACTTGGGTCCATGCTCGTATCATTACTAACTACTAAGAATAACCAACTAGACAGTAAACGTGTAATAGGTTAACAAAGGGAAAACAGAAAGTGCAACTTTCCAACAATCAAGGCAAACCTATTGCATCAACTAAGAAATTATGTGATGATCATGAAGCCTAAGGCATGTTTAGCTTTTGGCTCATGTTGATTTGACATGTATATTTTTAGGTTTTTATTGGTGACACTCCAAAAGAGATATTTAAAATAACAAAAATTGAAAACCGCTATGTTCCTAATCAAATATTTTTTTTAACACAAATGCGTTTTATTTTTTAAACAGAACACGGTTTTACCTATTGAATAAAAACAAAGAATCACACCCTTAAAACTGAATGGAGTCATTTCCCAGTAGTTTTTATTGAAAACCGCACTTGGATAAATTTATTTTAAATATATTATTTTTAAATTACTAAACCTAAACTCTAAAAACTATACATACCCCATATATTGTTGTTTTGTTCTATCATATGCTATATTAACATACATATGTTAACAAGTATTGGTTTTGAATCAAAAGATTTTATATATATATATATTTTTTTTTTTTGAAAAAATGAAACAAATAAAATAAAATAAACTATTGACAAAAAAATAATTTGTATTAATTAAATATTTCAAGTATTAATTATGATTACATTTTTAAAAACTTGATTGAACAGAAAATAATGAGATACCTTTAAAGTAATATATATATATATATATATATATATACATGTTTTAAAAAAATTTTACTCTAAATAAATTTAGATATTTAAGGTTTATAAATAATAAAAATGTTTCTTTATTAACAGTAAACAAATAATTAATTTTATATATATTAATTATATTATATTTATGCTATTTAGACATTAATGTGTACCGCAAATCAGTTTTTTTACCAATTAAACAACAGTTATTATATACCACCCACATTTGTTCTACATATTTTTTCTCACACGTATCACAGTTGAACCGTACCACACTATTAAACCTCTTTTTCTGCATAGCTAAAAACATTGTCACCATTCAAACCCTTAATCTATTACTGATTTTGATATTAATAAAACAATACTTAATTTTAGTATGTTATAAATGGCTAATTATTGACAAACTTGGTGTTGGCTTGCTATTAAATTTTATACACTTAAATAACTTGGCTTATTTTACTAATTATTTATACATGGCACACAGAAGAAAAAAAAAAGATTTGGCACACAAAGGCAATTCGGTAGATTTTATTAAGTCACTACACTTATTTTTCAAGTACAATTATATTTTTTCTAAGTATTTTGTTTTCAATTATTATTATCCAACACATTTGAGATCATAAATAATTTGAAGAGTTTCATATTCAAACTGATAACGAGATATTGGATTTATTAGTGGTTGAAAAAAAAAAATCTTGATTAGGGGAAAATTATACAGGATTTCAAATAACTGTGTCAAAAACTTTATCAAGAGTGCATAACATGCTTAACATGTGTCCACTCATGTTTTCAGTAAAATATGCTCACCTACCCAATGTATCAATATCTACTAGTTTATTAGGCTAATTAAGCCTACAATAAAACATGCTTAACTAACTACCTAAAACTATTTAACCTTTTTAAGTAACTGTATCAGATATAAAATAGTTACAAAATAATAAATAACTAGATTCTAAACCCGTGCGTCCGCACGCGAATTTTTTGTTTTTTTTCCTAATATAATTTGTATTTATTTTTTTGTTTAGATATAAGTTTTTTTTATTATTTATTTATTTTCTTAAATCAAAAATATTTATTTTCAATTTCTCAAATATGAAAAAATAATAAGAATGAGATGTGTTAAGTTTTTCATCATCCTAGTGTCAAACTATTTTTTGCAGGACATTTTGTTATCATGTTTTATCTTTAAATAGTATAGATTTGTATATTAGTAGATTTAGAATATGAGTTAATTAAGTATATTTCGATCTAATATTAATTATAAATTTTGTTATTATGTGATTTTAATTATGTAAATTTAATTATATAATTTTAATTATGTGGATTTACATATAAATAATTTATATATCTATGAATTAGCTAATCAATCAGTTTAGTTGCCTTAAATCATTTTTTAATATTTTATATGTTTTTAAAAACTAACTTGTATAAGAATGTAATTATAAATGCATAACCCTAACCTGTTCTATCATATTATTATTATATAAAAATATTTACTAATATTGAATTTAGGTCGATTTGATTACGATAAAATATAATAAGATATTCAAGTACCATTTGTGTTATTATAAAAATAGATATATCTATAAATTGGCTAACTTGTTCATTTAATTACCTCAAATTATCTTAATATCTTACATGTTTTAACAAACTAACCCGTATAAGACCTGAAGTATAATAATACATAACCTTAATCAGCTCCATCATATTATTGTAAAATATAAATATTTATTTATCTTAAATATTTGATATTTTAGACCGTTTAATTATGATAAAATAAAATAAGATATTTGTTTACCATTTGCGATATTATGAAAGTACAATTTAAATTTAAAATTTAAAATTAAATTTCTATTTAAAGAATTCTAAACCCTAAATTTTTGTAATAAAATTTAATTATAAAATTTTTACTTTTTTGAATTTTAAATTAAATTAAATCTAAATTTTTGTAATTATATATAGTTATTAAAAAATTTGAATAATTTGAAATTTTATTTAAATATAACTATATTTAAGGAGAATCTAAAAATATATAAATTAATATCTAATTTTCGGAATTAAATATAAATATAAAATAAATAATTTTAAAAAAACTTTAGAAGTGTTTGGAAGCAAACACTACAAATGTTTTTATTTTAATATAATAGATTGGAGTAACAGAGAGGCTGGTTTCCAAATTGGTTATCCGGTTATAAGTTCTAACCACCCGAAAACCGAATGGATTTTAATCAAACCGGAAAGCAAAAGAACCTGAGAGATCCTTCGTATCCAGATCTGTGGTTTCCAAATTGGTTATCCGGTTATGAGTTCTAACCACCCGAAAACCGAATGGATTTTAATCAAACCGGAAAAGCAAAAGAACCTGAGACTTCATATCCAGATCATCATCATCATCATCATCACTTTCATCAAAACACCCACTAAACTGTGTTGACTCTCTCTTCTGAAACTCGCTCCTCGAGCTTCCCTCTCGGGCGATTGTTTTTTCTACCAGTGAAAGGTATATTCATGAATATCTGGATTTTTCTCTTATCGATCCTTTACTCTTTTCGTTTAGTTTGAGTTTGAGTTTGGTTCTATCTGAAATCTCATCACCTGGCAATGATCACGATCATCTAAGTTATTTCTTTCGATTTACTGGATCGAAGTTTTGATCTATTATCATCGATGTTGCGTACAGATGTTTCATTAGAGGAAGGTGATTAGTTAATTTGGTTAATTATTGATTTGATTAGCGTCATTTCCAGATTCTTCCCTCGAATTCAGAATTTGATTCTTTATGATTCGAATATCAATTCTGTGCCAAGATGTTTCACTAGAGGCAAGTGATTAGTGAATTTTTCTTGTTTGTTTTGGTTGATTAGTGATTTGATTAGCATCATTTCCAGTTTCTTCCTTCGAATTGAGAATTTGATTCTTGTGGTTTATAATTCTGATAAGGCTAGGGTTTATGATTTTTTTTGTGATTTTGCAGATAGAGAGAGTGAGAAGATGGGTGCAGTTATTGAAGGGAAACTAAGGTTTTGTATTGACAGAGGAGGTACTTTCACTGATGTTTACGCCGAGATCCCGGGACATTCCGATGGTCGTGTTCTGAAGCTTTTATCGGTGGATCCATCGAACTATGACGATGCTCCGGTGGAAGGAATCAGGAGGATACTCGAAGAGTACACAGGGAAGAAGATCCCAAGAACATCTAAGATACCAACAGATAAAATCCAGTGGATAAGGATGGGCACTACTGTGGCTACGAACGCTTTGCTGGAGAGAAAAGGCGAAAGAATAGCTTTGTGTGTTACAAAAGGGTTTAAAGATTTGTTGCAGATAGGTAACCAAGCTAGGCCAGATATCTTTGATCTTACTGTGGCGAAACCGTCGAATCTTTATGAAGAGGTTATAGAGGTTGATGAAAGAGTCGAGCTTGCGCTTGAGGAAGAAGATAATGATGATTCTAAAGGTCTGATCAAGGGAGTGTCTGGTGAGCTTCTTAGAGTTTCGAAGCCGTTTAATGAAGAAGCTTTGAAGCCGTTGCTTAAAGGTCTGCTTGATAAAGGGATAAGTTGTTTGGCTGTGGTTCTGATGCACTCGTACACGTACCCGAAACATGAGATGGCCGTGGAGAAGTTGGCCTTAGAGATGGGTTTTAGACATGTCTCATTGTCTTCTGCGTTGACTCCAATGGTTCGAGCGGTTCCTCGTGGTCTTACTGCAACTGTGGATGCATATCTGACGCCTGTGATCAAGGAGTATTTATCAGGTTTCATCTCCAAATTCGATGATGATCTTGGGAAAGTGAATGTTCTGTTCATGCAATCTGATGGAGGTCTAGCACCAGAGAGTAGGTTCTCAGGTCACAAGGCTGTGTTGTCAGGTCCAGCAGGAGGAGTTGTTGGTTACTCGCAGACACTCTTTGGTCTTGAAACTGAGAAACCGCTGATTGGATTCGACATGGGTGGTACATCGACGGATGTTAGCCGCTATGATGGAAGTTATGAGCAAGTCATAGAAACTCAGATCGCTGGAACGATCATCCAAGCGCCGCAGCTTGACATAAACACCGTCGCTGCTGGTGGTGGATCGAAGTTAAAGTTTCAGTTTGGTGCTTTCCGGGTCGGACCGGATTCCGTGGGTGCTCATCCTGGTCCAGTTTGTTACCGGAAAGGAGGAGAGTTAGCAGTTACTGATGCAAACCTTGTTTTGGGGTTTGTGATTCCTGATTATTTCCCATCCATCTTTGGACCTAATGAAGATCAGCCTTTGGACGTAGCAGCGACAAGAGAAGCATTTGAAAAGCTTGCAGGACAGATCAATGCGTATAGAAAGAGTCAGGATCCATCTGCAAAGGACATGACGGTGGAGGAAATAGCAATGGGGTTTGTAAGTGTTGCTAACGAGACCATGTGCCGTCCCATACGGCAATTGACGGAGATGAAGGGCCACGAAACAAAGAATCATGCGCTCGCATGCTTTGGAGGTGCTGGACCGCAACATGCTTGTGCAATAGCTAGATCTTTGGGCATGAAAGAAGTTCTTGTTCACAGATACTGTGGGATTTTGAGTGCTTATGGAATGGGTTTGGCAGATGTCATTGAAGATGCTCAAGAGCCGTATTCAGCTGTTTATGGTCCTGAATCTCTTTCAGAGGTGTTTAGAAGGGAGACTTCATTGCTGAGAGAAGTGAGAGAGAAGCTCCAAGAGCAGGGCTTTGGTGATGAGAATATCTCTACTGAGACATATTTGAATTTAAGATATGACGGCACAGATACAGCGATCATGGTAAAGGGTAAAAAAACTGGAGACGGGTCGGCATTTGATTATGCTGCAGAGTTTCTCAAGCTTTTCGAGCAAGAGTATGGATTCAAACTTCAAAATAGAAGTCTCCTCATATGTGATGTTCGTGTTCGAGGAATTGGAGTGACTAGTATATTGAAACCACGTGCAGTTGAAGCTGCCCCTGGTACTCCTATGATTGAAAGGCACTACAAGGTTTACTTTGAAGGTGGATGGCATGAGACACCGTTGTTCAAGTTAGAGAATTTAGGATTTGGTCATGAGATCCCCGGCCCTGCGATCATCATGAACGGGAATAGTACAGTTATTGTAGAACCACACTGCAAAGCCATCATCACAAAATATGGGAACATTAGAATCGAGTTAGAATCTGCAACGAGCAGTGTGAAGCTTGCAGATAATGTTGCAGATGTTGTTCAATTGTCTATCTTTAATCACAGATTCATGGGTATAGCTGAGCAGATGGGAAGAACCTTGCAACGTACTTCCATATCGACAAATATCAAAGAAAGGTTGGATTTTTCTTGTGCCTTGTTTAGTCCTGACGGCGGTTTAGTTGCTAATGCGCCGCATGTTCCAGTTCATCTTGGTGCCATGTCCAGTACAGTTCGCTGGCAGCTCAAACATTGGGGTGAAAATCTAAACGAAGGAGATGTGTTGGTAACTAATCATCCTTGCGCCGGTGGTAGCCATTTGCCTGATATAACCGTGATCACTCCTGTTTTTGACAAGGGTAAGCTCGTGTTCTTCGTGGCTAGCAGAGGCCATCATGCAGAAGTTGGAGGAATAACTCCAGGAAGCATGCCTCCTTTCTCAAAGGCGATTTGGGAGGAAGGCGCTGCGATAAAGGCGTTTAAAGTTGTTGAGAAAGGTGTTTTCCAGGAAGAAGGAATCGTCAAACTTCTTCAGTTCCCTTCTTCTGATGAAACAACAACTAAGATTCCCGGAACTAGAAGGATTCAGGACAATCTCTCTGATCTTCAGGCTCAGATAGCTGCAAACCAGAGAGGAATTGCTCTAATCAAAGAGCTGATTGAGCAGTATGGCCTTGTGACTGTTCAAGCTTACATGAAATACGTGCAGCTTAACGCAGAAGAAGCAGTGAGAGAAATGCTGAAATCTGTTGCTATTAGAGTCTCCTCCGAAAAGCCTGAATCAAGAGTTGGTAGTTCCGTAACCATAGAAGAAGAGGATTACATGGATGACGGATCTGTGATTCACTTAAAACTCACGATCGACGCTGACAAAGGAGAAGCCTTCTTCGACTTTACAGGAACAAGCCCTGAAGTCTACGGTAACTGGAACGCACCAGAAGCAGTTACATCCGCAGCGGTTATATACTGCCTCCGTTGTCTGGTTAACGTCGACATCCCTCTAAACCAAGGCTGCTTAGCTCCGGTTGAGATCCGCATACCGGCTGGTTCTTTCTTATCTCCAAGCGAGAAAGCAGCTGTTGTCGGAGGAAACGTTCTGACATCTCAGAGAGTTACAGATGTTGTCCTAACAGCTTTCAAGGCTTGTGCTTGTTCACAAGGATGCATGAACAATCTCACATTTGGAGATGACACGTTTGGCTACTACGAGACCATTGGAGGAGGATGCGGAGCTGGACCTACATGGGACGGGACAAGCGGAGTCCAATGCCATATGACCAACACGAGGATGACTGATCCAGAGATCTTCGAGCAAAGGTACTGAAAATTCTTCCTCTTAAACCTGTTGAGACCTACTTGCACTAGACTAACACAAGGGTTGGTTTTATCAGGTACCCGGTACTGTTGCATAGATTTGGATTGAGAGAGAACAGTGGAGGCAATGGGTTGCATAAAGGAGGAGATGGGTTGGTGAGAGAGATAGAGTTTAGAAAGCCTGTGGTGGTTAGTATTCTCTCAGAGAGACGAGTCCACTCGCCACGAGGATTGAACGGTGGCCAAAACGGAGCTCGTGGAGAGAACTATCTCATAAGTAAAGACAAAAGGAGAATCTATCTTGGAGGCAAGAATACTGTACATGTGAAAGCCGGTGAAATCCTACAGATTCTCACTCCGGGCGGTGGCGGATTCGGCTCCGGCGTTTGAATTACTCATCTCCTCTCTCGTAAGTCCCTTCTCTAACTTCATCACTTCTTCATTCAGGCGTAATCAGATTAATGTTTTACGAGTCTTTTTGTTTTTTTTTATTGTCAGATTCTTTGGAGGTTGGCCACTTTCGGTGTAATATGGATCAATAAGCTGTAAGTGATTTTTATATATATTTATGTTGCTCAACAATTCAGACATTGTACAAGCGTTTCGTTTGATTATAACGTTTAAACAGAACTTCAAGAGTTTTACGCCAACCAATAGCTCTGCTTCGTTATAATACTAACTTCCTCATTAAGCATAGCTCTTCTCTGAGCATATAAAATCCAGTCTAAACTGAAACCTTTGTAGAATTAAAGCCGTAAAGCAACTTCTGATCTTAGCTCGCCAGGACAAAAACTTACATCGAGCAACTAGATCTGATCTTAGCAACTAAAACTTACATATTAACGACAAAATGCGGACGAGATAGATAGACACTCAGTATTAAAAGGGCCTTCTTCTAGATCACTCCAACCTTCTTACTCTTTCTTCAACTTCTTGATGCAAATCTTCATCTTCAACGAGTCACCACTTAAGCAACTGCGAGGGATCAACAACATGGAATTCTCCTGAGGGGTTTCAAAACTCACTTCACGAATCCTCTTCACCTCTGGTGATTCATAAGTCATAGTGTGTCCATCGGCACTAGTGTAGGAGATCTGATATGAGAACTCTCCTACTTCTGGAGCAGATGGTGCAATGCAGCTTACTGTTACATAAACACCATACGGCTCCCTAAAACACTGCACTGCAAACAATCGAGACGTTGTAGTATCCACTTTAATTGATATCTTATCACTGATGTTCATCTGGGCACAAAAGGAATTGCCAAGACGGCAAAAGTTAACAATTGCTGGATAAGAAGTTATGTAATTGTGATCGTAGAGATAGTGATCGTAGAGATCCTCGTATAGTCCAGTGTAATTGCAGTCTAGCTCAGGGCAGGAGCAACGAGAGAAGGCGCATTCCTTCTCATGGGCTGATTCTTTTCCGTAAGAGACTTTCTTGGTGCATCCAAACTTTGCATTTGGGCATGGGACAAAGATGGAGTCAAGAACACTCTCCATTGCTCTGCAGCGAATGTGGCCAATAGGCGAAGCACAAGAAGGGCATTTATCACTCAGTTTGGCACAGCAAGAAGAGCAAGCCAAATGCCCATTATCACACTGAAATGCAAAAACCAATGATTAACAATCAAGTTTACACTAGAGAAAAACTAACCAATGAGTAGTTGTGGTTCTCTTAATTCATTGATAATATGCCAAATTATACAGATATTTACAAGAATTACTTCCGCAGTCTGCAAACATGAACATATCTTACAAAAACTTCACTAGATCCTCAAAATCATCAAAACAAAAGCTAGGGATACTCTTAAAATCCAACTCTTTTCTTCATTCTACTCCAAATTATCCTCTTCCTAATGCAGATTTTGACCCCAAAATTCTACATTTTCAAGAACTATAACTGTAAACAAGAGCTAAGTACACTTCAAATTCACAAATTCTACCTAATGCAGAGTTTCGTTGACATATTTTCCAAAGAAAAAGCTTGGGATACTCTTAAAATCCAGTAAATGGGCACAATTTCTATCTACGTTTACTTAAAATCGTTTAATTAAAATCATGAAAACAAAAGCTAGGGATACACTTATATCCTCGAAAATGGTGACAGTTCAACGAAAAAAAAAAATCTTCCTCTTACTCCAAACCATCCTATTCCAGATGCAGAGTTTGAGAAGCTACAATTCAATTCAGGTAAGAGCAAAACCTGGAAGATAGGAATCGTCAATGTTTCGAAACAAATGGGACATTCGAGGATATTTAGATCGAGCAGCATCGTCGAGAGTCGCTTATCATCTGTTCCCACTCTCTTCGCTCCATCACAGGGAGATATCGAAGAACGTGGTCTCTTCTGCGAGAGTATGCTTCTCGATCCATTCCCTTCGCCGGAAGCTTCCGCACTCGCCGCTTCCACCATGTCGGAGGTTTAATCGGAGAAACGGCTAAACCCTAGTCCCTTTTCTATTTCCGATAATTCTCTCAGGATTAATGGCTGAAAAGTGATAAATGAGAAAAAAACAATTTTCCCTACCACATTTGAATGAGCGACAGGCTAAAATGTCTGTAAAAAAAAATGCCAAAATGCCATGTAATAATTAATTTAATTTTGATTTTTATTTAAATCCAAAATCTTGGAAAATTCTACATTTTTTTGAAATTTCGATTTATTTACATCAAAACCAGAATCAAACTCATCTAGTATTGGTTAATCCGTTAACCCGACCCATTCGAAATTATGTTAATTATTTGAATTAAATATTTATAAAAACCATTTTTTCTTTTCATTTTCTATATTTTTTCTTTTTTATCTTCATTTTATTCGAAACTTTTCAACTGCTCTCTCTTCTTCTTCACACGTTCACACTCCTTTGAATCGAAAACCGATTCGCAACTTCCCTCAAAACCGTTAAAGCTCTAATAGTGCTTTCTAAACACCGTAGAATCGTTTTCTTCTGGCGAATATCGCGAATCTGAGAAGGCCGCGTGAATCCCAAATCTCCGATTTATGGCGAAGGTGAGAAACAACGGCCAAGAGTATGAGTCTTCTTCTTCAGCGGCGGAAGTCCAAAACCCGACGGAAAACGAAAAAGAGAAACCTGAAAGTCGGCCGAAAGGAAACCCGGCTGAAATTGAAAGACCCAGAAAACGGGAACCCTAACAATCCGGCGGAAGGGAACCCGACGGAAATTGAGGAACCCCGGCGGGAAGGAATGGCTGTGGAGGAAATCGTAGACCCACAAATCGAGAACCATCCTGAAATTGAGAACGCCGAAGTGAGCATGGCCACACCAACGGCAAACGATGGTGACGGGGAATTAGCAGGAGAAAATGAAGCAGAGGAGAAGGAAAAAGAGAAGGAAAACGAAGAAGAAGTGGAAGAGAACCAAGAGGAAAAGGAAGAGAACAATGAGGAAGAGGAAGAGGAAGAGAACAATGAGGAAGAGGAAGAGGAAGATAACCAAGATGAAGAGGAAGAGGAAGAGAACCAAGAGGAAGAGGCAATAGGAGTTGAAGAGGAAGATGGTACTGCGCCTGCGCAAGAGGAAGAGGAAGCGCAAGAGAACCAAGAGGAAGAAGAGAAGGATGAAGCGCCAGCCAATGTCAACGAAGAGGAAGGAGAAATGCTAGAGGAGGAAGCAAGAATGCAAGAGGTATGTTTTAGACTCCCATTCTTGATAATCTTGTAGATTATTGTCTGTTTGGTATGTAGACAACTAGGACAACTATGTAGTAACATGTATGTTTGGTCTGCGGACAAATAGGACAATTTTGTGGCTTAAGATTTCTTTGGTATTTGGACAACTGGGACAACATATAGTTATAGTGTATAGGACAACTGAGACAACTTAGGTTTATAGAACGTATGTGGACAACTGGGACAATTTAGGTTTATAGAACGTATGTGGACAACTGGGACAATAACTCGTTTATAGTATTTATTGGACAACTGGGACAACTTGTCTTTATAATATGTATATAGGTTACTATGGACAATTGGGACAACAAGTTTAACTAATTTATATAAAAATTGTGTTACTCTTCTGAATTTCAGGATGCCGATGATGAAATGATGCTAATGGGGCCTGAGAAGCTTTATTTTGGCCAACCGAATATAGCAAGGCGTGTAAGATAATTACAAGATGTGCAGTTAAGAGTGTACTTGATGTGATTGGGAAGCTGCCTGAAGAGTTGGAGTGGTTCAAATCGCATCCGCAATTCAAGCACCTGTTTCATATGTATAAGGAGCCAAATCATATGAATCAAGGGTTGTGGATGCTTCTTCTTCACACAGCTTATACTGAGAAGCAAAATGAGGCGTGGTTTGTGGTAAATGGAGCGCCTATTCGATACTCTTTGAGGGAGCATGCACTGCTATGTGGTCTTGACTGCCATGACTACCCTGCAAATTATAAGAATTTGGGTAAGATGAACTTTGTAAAGAAGCAGTTTGGCAGGGGTGACAAAATCAAGATCGGAGAAGTGGAAGCAAAGCTAGCAGAAATGAAGGAACCCTCTTTGGACAGGAAGAGGATGGCACTACTTTTGTTTCTATGCAAAGTATTGAAGGCGAAGTCAAAGCTTGATGGAAACATTGACCCATTCTTGCTCGCAGCAGCCGGAGATCTGAAGCTGTGCAGAACGTTTCCTTGGGGGCGTTACACGTTTGACGAGACTATAAGGGAGATCCAGTGTGTGGTCACCAAGTTCAATGGCAGCGTCAAGCCTAAAGGAGCTGAATGCACAATCTCTGGTTTCATTCTTCCTCTACAGGTATGTCTTTGTTAATAGATTATCTGTTTGGTATGTGGACAAATAAGACAACTTTTTAGATAAATATATGTTAGGTCGATGGACAACATGGACAACTATGTGGATTCGTTATATGTTACGTTGATGGACAACTGTGACAACTATTTAGAATGATTTTTTTAGTTTGACTTTGTAGACAACTCGCACAACTGGGACAACTAGTTAGTTGTGTGGACAACTCGGACAACTTGGAAAACTATTTAGTTGTAATTTAATTTGGTCTGTGGACAACTAGGACAACTGGGACAAATATTTAGATTGATTTATGTTTTGACTTTGTAGATTATTGCGTTTGAGTGCATTCCAAGTCTGGGAAAGAGGTTTCGTGAAGCTGTCCATGCTGAGCCTAACTGTCCAAGGATTTGCAAGCATAGGTTCACAGTGAGAATAGGTAAGTATGCTTTTGCATAGTCCCAGTCTGATTCAGTAGGCACACCGTCCAACTTCCCAAGTTCTACCATGTATTTCTCATCCTCTAACTCAAGCATATCAAAATCTCTCTTCAATTTCAAAGCTGATTCCAACATCAGATATGTAGAGTTCCATCTGGTCTCAACATCAAGAGATACACCAGAAGTAGATGAAAGCTTTAGGTGAAGAAGACACTCTTTGAATTTGTCTAATCTTGCCGGAGAGGATCTTACGTACCGAACAGTAGAACGTATTCGACTAATGGAGGCTTTATTTTCTTCCAACCCATCTTTGACAACCAGATTTAGAATATGTGCACCACATCTCATATGAAGATATTCACCATCAAGTAGACTATTACCCCATGACTTAACTCTTCTTTTTACGAATCTCAGTGCTACATCGTTTGCACTTGCGTTGTCTACGGTGATTGTGAAAACCTTGCTGATTCCCCAAGACACCAAACATCTTTCAACCATTTTCCCTATCAGCTCACCTTTGTGACTCAGAATTTGGCAAAAATTTATGATTTTTTTTTGCAAATTCCAGTTCTCATCAATAAAATGTGCAGTCAAACACATATAGTTGATGTTCTGAACCGACGTCCAAGTATCTGTCGTTAGAGAAACACTCCCTTTGTGTTTCTGAAAGAACAGCTTCATCTTTTTCTTTTCTTCAAGAAACAAACTCATACATTCTCTAGTAACAGTTCTACGGGAAGGGATTTCAAACCGAGGTTGGAGAACGTATATGAATTCTCGAAAACCTTCCCTTTCCACAGTCCTAAAAGGCAACTCATCCTTTATAATCATTCTGACCAAACCTTTTCTGCAATCTTCTTTATTATATTCTAAGTATGATGGAACAGCTTCATCATTCTCTTTTTTAGATCGATGGTGCAGGGTTGCTTGCTTAAGTCTTTTACCAGCGACAGTCTCAACCTCAAGTTCTGGATGTAGCTTCTTACATCTAACCATGTGTTTCAGCATAACACTAGTATTGACACCAGATGGTGATCTAATGGTAACTACTTGGCCACAATGATCACACTTAGCTTTGTCTCCATTCTCTAATTTCTTAAAGTTAACCCAAGCAGGAGATCTTTGTCTAGGGACTACCTTAGATTCAACAGATTCCATAGTTGGAGCTGATTCACCACCATGTCCGCTCTCCATTTCCTCTGCATCAGTTTTTTTACCTCCACTAATACTATGTTGCTCAGATTCCATCTATACAGAAAAGTTCACAACTCAAAATGTTTAAACAATGATGGAAGACATAAAGATTGAACCCTAATAAAAAAAAACAAAGAAATTCATTCAGATATTGTGAAGACAAACCTGATTAGATCGATAAAATTGAGTGATTAAGATAAGCAATGGAGAAAAAATCAACGGCTATGAAAAAAAGTTAAGCAGCCGCTTTCTGCTTTCTTTCTATTTTAAATCTGAGAGTGAAGAGATATCGAGAGAAGCCCTAGATCTCTTAAAAGTTAGAAATAAATAGCATCGAAAATTATAACAAAGAAATTTGGATAGTTTTTGGGCTTAATCTTTGGGCTTTAATATTTGTTATAGATTTTGTTATTAAAAGGGACCAAATAAGTAACAAGTATAAGTAATGAGACAAGTAACAAGTATAAGTAATGAGACAAGTAACAAGACAAGTATTAAAAATAAAAATGATACTTGATACTTACCCGTACTTGCAAGTAATGAAATTTGTTGACTTGTTACTCGACTTGACAACAACAAGTACTTGTTTTATCAAGACAAGTAGCGAGTACGGGACGAGTAACAAATATTTATGCCCAGCCCTAGGTTCACTGATGTAGCCATGAGAGGTATTCCTTTGGATGACATCAACCAAGCTATTGGCACTAGTGCGGAGGTCAGTGATTTTTGATTATTGATATTAGCTTGATATTAAACATGGTTGGTGGAGAAATGTAATAAGTGGTATTTGTTGATATTATCAGGACATTATTAGCATTTTGGAGGCTGACTCGGATGAAGAAGAGCTATTGGCGGAGATCGCAGATCCTGGATTCGATGATGGTATCGGATATATTGACATATTTGTCAAGGGCTGGATGGATCACTTAACCAAGAAGAAGAAAAAGATTGTTTGGAGAGAGCTGTATGAGGCTGATATTGCTTCTCGGGTTCAAGTCCCTGATATGGAACCAAGGGAAGATGAGCCCATATCAGTGGTTCAGCTGAAGGCGTCAATGGAGAAGAATCAAGAGGAGATTGTAGAGAAGGTATAAGGCATGGAT